AACTACTACGTACGAGTAGATTTGGGTATATTATCTTTAATGAGCAATATTTACCACCAATCTTGAACTACACGAAAATTCTAAAAGACCTATATGGATTCATGGATACCATTGGTTATACCTTCGTTTATTTTTTCTTTTAATATTCAATTTCTGGTTTGGTAATTTTATATCGTCACCTACAACAAAAAAAAAGTCGTGAAAGGAAAACAACCTAGCGAAGGAAGTAGGGGAAGTGTCATTTTCTTTAATATTAAAAATAATATGAATTAGTTTTAAAAAAGTTTTCATAAAATGTATCTTTACTACACATTTTCTATTCAGATTAAACTTTATAAACATGAATGAATATCAATCTCAATTGAATGATATATTTATATATTTTGATGTTCGAGAACTCATTGAAACTTTTTACAATATCGATTCTCATTTCAATAAATTGATTCAATCATCTTCAACTTATTTTTCATATAAAAACATCAAATAATAGTGGAACAAATGATACAATTTTTCTATCTTATATTCATAATCAATGCTAATCTTATTCAATTTTCAAATGTTCATAGTCTTTTTCTTATGAATCCATTACAAGAAGTTTGCATACAATTGACTTCTGATATAATGCTTTCCTTAGAGCATCTTTCAATTCCAATTGCAAACTATTCAACTATTGGAATTTTACTTGAAAAGATATTTTCTAATTATTTTCCTAATTTAATATCCTGTGAATTGTTAAGAACAAGAGCAACAAAAACCATTCAGAATTGGATACAAATACTATTATTAAAAGTTTTTTAAAAATGACATTGATTAATTCATATGTTTATGTAGCTATACTTTCTGCATGTCCGAATTTATACTTTTTTAAATTTTCGATGCTAACATCTCTTAATAATGGTCATATTATCAGTAGTTTTCTTGCATATGTACTCAATCTTGAATATCTTTAGTGTTCATCGAATAAATTATCTTTCAGACGTTACAGAATATCTTTATAGTTATGATTGGCTTGGATCAATAATTGTTTGTCGTTTACTATTATTAAATCAATTTTGAATTTTATTTCCATGTTTGAAATGATGGAATAGTAATTACATCTAATCTTAAGAATATTGTTTGTAAAATTTAAAATAATTTTATTAATATTCACAAAGATCAATATTAAGCTCGATTAAAAATCGATCAAAAATAATTACCTAATAAATTGATCATTCATATCTAGAAATATTCGGATGTTCGAGATTTATTAACGCATTTTTGTAATTTAAATTCACATTACAATAATCTTTTTCATACATTCAATCTTCTTTATCTTATATAAATCATGAAGAAAGTATTTCTCCTTGAAATAGTCATAATATAGAAAATTCTATTTAATGTGTAGCTAATCTTGAAACTTAACTTTCAAATTAGTGAACTTTTTCTTTTATGAAAGTGATAATGTTTATCTAATGGATTAATTATGAAAATATTTCAATATATTGATACTTAAGATCTATTTCAATCTTTTTACAATCTCAAAATACTCATTTTAATAACCCCTGTGTAAAAAGTCTTCGTACAAAAGTTTTGCTCGATTTTCGACCACTTATAGATTGAAGGACAGATTCAAAGGTAGTCAGCTAGAAAGAGAATTTCTTCCGCTTTCTAAATATATATTCAGAATTTTATTCTGACTTGAACTTAATTCATTAAGAGAAGATATTTGATAGGGACTAAAAACGACGTTTGTACAGAATATTCCATGCAG